ACACACACACACACACACACACACACACACAGTTTCAAGGTATGTATTTGTCTGATGGGGAGTTATAAAACTGATCAATAAAATAAAATAAAAGACATTTACAGAACAATTCTGCAAAGTGCAGCCTTAACAAATACTAGCCTCTGTCATTTGCCCTCGTTAAGCTGGAATATAGATCTGTTTTATTTATGCTTTTGAAGAATTGCCACATTAAACAGGTCTCGAAAGGTTTGTTTTAATGGTACTTAAAAAAAATCTGGAATTTATGGATTACGAAAGAGATGGGCTCTTTGACTTTTCAGTGAGACTGCACACTGTCTCTCACTCTCATTTTTGGTTAGGAGCTTACTTTTACAATTTAAGATTCACATTCATGGTTTTAAAGCTCCTAAGAGTCAAGGAGTTATAGCCCTTGATTATTTTATTCATTCAATAGATAGGTAAAACTCACACCTTATAATTGGGCTTAAAGACTGGGAATAGGTTTTTTAAAGTGTGCTAAGATTTCCAGACAATTTATGTATTTCTCCAGGGCTCTCTGCAACTATAGATTTGTCCATAAATCACAAGTGCAGAAAGAGAAAAAATGGTCACTTTTTCCATTTTTTCCAATAATACCGATTGAGTACCTCCTAAATGCCAATCTAAGACAGCAGCTGAGAATGAGGCAGACTCCTCTCTGACCAGAAGGAACTCCCACGCAGAGGCATTCAGCCAGGGTAGAAGCGTGATGTTTCTTGGAGAAATTCAAAACCCAATTTCCTATGACACAGCAGGAGATAGCTTAGGACTTTGGGCCTTTGCCTTGGAGGCAACTTTGTTCAGAAGTGAGCACTGACTGTCCTAAGTGGTGTCCAGCTGGGGCCAGGGGCTCCCCATAAAAGGGGCTTAATCGAGGCGGTGGGACTTGAAAAGGATGCTGAGGAAGCACTGTAGTTAGAAAAGAGGAGAAGGGGTAAAGGCCCATCAAAAAAGCTGACTCCAGCCCCAAGGAAGCAGAGGGTCATTGAGAGAGGAAAGTGAGGTTAGAGAGGCCTATTCAGCCACATAGCAGTGGACCTTTGAATCCCATGGCCTCAGGCCCAGCTCAGTTCTCGCCTATATCCTCTCTGTCAGGAGGAACATCAACAAACCCTGAGTGAAGTTTCGTTCCAAGTTATATTTGGGAAGACTAATCTGGTTCCACTGTGTGGGAAAGATCAGAAGAGGAAGACGTCAGAAGTGGGAGGTGGAGACCAGTTCGGTGTAGTTATCTAGGAAAAGAATGAGTGTTGTAGGGATTTAGCTGGGATTGCTGTTTCACCCTGAGGTTATAGATTTCAGAACAGCACAGAGCTGCAAGGGAGATTTAAAGAACGTGACCATGACGGGTTCTCTTGGGAGAGTGAATGAGGACAAATGTGTCATCTGGCTTCTTCCTGGGCTCTCCTCTTCCACATGGGTTTGCCCCCTCCCCATTCCCCAGGGTACATGGGGAGCTTTCTGCTTATCATCAGTCAACAATCAACAAAAACAGATCCCAAGTCTGGTAAAGGCTAGCAAGACCGGTTGGCAGCTGACAATTCTGAGGATCTCTTGTCCAGATGGAGTCTCCCCCAACCATCCTTCTTATCAAAGTCCTCCACATGGGCATAGTGGCTTTATTTAACTCAAATCTCTGTTTAGTTACTGTTGCAAAGTAGCAAAACATCCAATTGTCATTTTCCATTCAGGCCCAAAAATACAAAGCATGATGTGTTAGGGGACAAACCCAGAGACACTGCTTCAATTATTACACCCTCCCCAGCTGACCCTTACTCACCAGACTGAGCTCAGGGCCACTGTCAAGGCAGTAGCACTTCCAGCTTTTCGCAGAGCATCAGATTTGGGGATCTGAGAGCCAAGAAAGTCAACATGTTCAGGTTGCACATGAGAGCTCGTCTCTAACCCTGACCCAGACCTTGGAACAGGGCCTCCCTGGAAACAGGAAGTAGAGAGCTTTAGAGTAAAACTCAGTTCACGGGTAAAGCTCTGCTTTCCTTGAAAAGCTTCTGGTCATCTTGGTAAAAATTGGGAAAGAGAACAGGCCTCTGGAGCTGTACATCTGGGTCCTGCATCCTTCATTTTATTTCTAAAAATCTCTCAGAAGGCAGCAGATGCCAGTATCTTAAATTGAAATTATTTGTGACCAGGTCAGAACAGTCACAAGGAATCCCATGAGCATTGAGTAGAAAAGTTCATGACACAAAATTAAATACTTTCAATGGCAACATGTTTTTTCAATTTTGTGTTGATATTATTTTGTCCTAAATATGGAATCTGTTTGGAATTTGAAAAATAGAAAAGCTACATACATAACTTACTATCACTGGCTTTGAAAGGAATAGACCCACCTTGGTACTTGGCAGTGGGAGAGAGGGTTGATGAGGGTGTCTAAGTCTTTCGCTATCCTAATTCCACCCATCCTTGAAAGTTTGGTTTGAGTCTTTAGAAAGACTTCCCTGAGTCAAACAGCCCACATTCACCTCTTTCTTCTCCAAACTGCTACAAAAATTATAGTCGGTACCATACAATTTAGTCCTTTGTTGTAAACGGCCTGTATCATTCACGTTACATGTGCTGTTGCTGTTTCCCCAACCAGATGGCGAGATGTTTTAGAAAGCACAGATCCTGTAGGCTTCTTCTTTTGTTTTTCTTTTTTTCTCTGAGGAAGTTTAATATATTTCTGCAGGGTCACTGAAGGAGTCTTACAAGTAATTCTCTTGTAAATTCAGTTGTGGAAAAGCAGAGGAAGGAAACATGTGTACAGAGAAATGTGTACTCAGTATCTGTCAGGGTAGGTTTACTCTTATTTAAAAAAGAAAATCAATTTCAGCAGCTTAACACAATAAATGTGTACTTAATGTCCATCTACAATTCCATTTGGGTGCTCCTGGTCAAGTGACTCATAATTTTTGCCAAGTAGTGGTGATTCAGAGATCCAGGTTCCTTCTCTCTAGTTCCCTTGGGGCCTCCTCATGGTCCTCTCCATCGGACCCTCTGTATCTGGCTAACAGATGAGGGGCAAGAATGGAGGATCGTACATGGGAGAGTTTTATGGCCCAGCCTTCCACCTGTATTTCATTGGCCAGAACTCATTAACATGGCTCTACCTAACTTCAAAGGAGGCTGGGAAACATGGCCTATGAGCATGCCCAGTAGGGAAAGGATGATCTGGTGAACTAGACAGTGTTTGTCATACTTTCCAAGTTCTGCCTACAAGAACCAGGAAATATATTTCAGTGACTTGAGCATCATGGTGGCAGTACACAGAATTAATCCAACTTACTTTTGATAAGATGGGTGATTATTTCTACTGTGAAGTTATTCTTGGAACCTGAGTGTCTACAAATATAAATAATAAGAAAAAATCTAATAAAAAATTCAGTTAACTTAATTTTTATGGTGCATGCTGGATTCTTAAAACATTTCTATAGAACTTTTTAGTATCTGCTTATCCTTATGGTTTAAAAGGTTGTTCTAAGAATAGTGTCTTATACTATAATTTTTATTCTATTGATTTTTTTTATTACATGGCATTAATGATTGCTGCTACTGTATTAACTGAGAATAGGTCTTCTTCTATATAGGGCCACTTACCTATAGGGGAGGAAAAGCAAGGGCCCATATAAATCTAAATAAATCCCAAATAGGCTTTTAAAAAGATTAAGTATTGCCAATTATACTCTAATTTTTTTAAAAAAAGCAAATGAAAACTTATAAAAGTTGTTGCAATTGAGTGAAATTGATCAATAAATTAATTCACTTTGCATAAAAAGGGTTAGTATAACACATTTTATCTCTCCTTATTTAGAATTCCATTTTGATTTATCTATATAGTGTTTGTGAGTGTATCTCTATATAGTTTTTTTATTATTAGTTTCAGGTGTACAGAACAATGCAATAGTCATGCTTTTCACCCCTCACAAAGTGGCCATTTCCCTCCCCCAGTCACCCACCCCCTCCCCCCATACCATACATATCTATCACAATTCCATCGACTCCACTCCCCGCACTGTGCTCCACATCCCGTGACCACATATATATCAAATCTTAGTTGACATACAATATTATTCAACATCAGCACAGATGTACAGTGCAGTGCTCAAGCCTCTACCCCATCCATGAAGTGGTCTCCCTAACAAGACATGAGTCCATCTGAGCCCCTAAAAAATATTTACAACATTACTGATTATACTCCCCAAACTGTCTTTCATATCCCTGTGGCAATGTTGTAGTTACCAATTTATGTTGTCTAGTCCTTTCCCTTTTTCTCTCATCCCCACCCCCTCCCAAACTAGTAAACCCTCAGTTTTTCCCCTATGTCTCTGAGACTATTCCTGTTTACAATGCTCATTTATTCAGTTCTTTAGATTCCACATATAAGTGAGATCATATGGTATTTGTCTTTCTCCTTCTTTTTAAATTAAAGTTTATTGGGTTGACAATTGTTAGCAAAGCTACATAGATTTCAGGTGTACAATTCTGAAATATATCATCTATATATCATATTTTGTGTTCATCATCCAAAGTCAGTTCTCTTTCCATCACCATATATTTGACTCCCTTTACCCTCATCTACCACCCCCTCTCCCCTTACCCTCTGGTAACCACTAAACTATTATCTGTATCTATGAGTTTTCTTTCTTCATTTGTTTTTCTTGTTCTTTTGTTGTTTTCAGTTTCATATCCCGCATATCAGTGAAGTCATATGGTTCTCTACTTTTTCTGTCTGTCTTATTTCACTTAGCATGGTAATCTCAAGATCCATCCATGTTGTCGCAAATGGCACTATTTCATCTTTTCTTATGGCAGAATAGTATTCCATTGTGTATATATACCACAACTTCTTTATCCAATCACCTATCGAAGGACACTTTGGTTGTTTCCATGTCTTGGCCACCATAAATACAGCTGTAATGAACACCGGAATACATATATCTTTATGGATATATGTTTTTAGATTTTTTCGGTAGATACCCAAGAGAGAGATTGCTGGGTCATATGGTAATTCTATTTTTTATTTTTTTGCGGAATCTCCACACTGCCTCCCATAGCAGCTGCATCAATCTGCAGTCCCACCTGTTAGACTTCTTGTTATCTCCTAAATGCTGAGCTTACTCCTCAGAACATTGTAGGTGTTTGATCAGCATTTATTGAATGAAAATGTTGAGCATCTCAGTGGGCTTATTTCAGAAGTCAGATCTAACTAGATCTTCCCTTTTTTGCCAGACAAGCTCAAGCTCAGCGTGGTCCAGGGTGGGCATGCAGAGAAGGTGTGTTGTGATGATGTCAATCATTCATTGTTGACAGCCAGGGGTGGCAGTGGGACATGCTGGTTAATAACAGTCAGCAAACCTGGGCTCTGATCTAGTTTTTCCCACTTATTAGCTGTGTGGCATTGCACAGGTTACTTTACTAAACTGTAGTTTTTTTATGCATAAAATGGGAATAAAAATAGTACCACCGCCTAGCATTTTTTTTTTTGAGGAATAAAATAAGTTATGAAGACCCATATGACCCATTTTGCCTTTTGGGTATATAAGTAATGTAATTCCACCCACTGCCTTGAGAATTTGCATGTCCAGATTAGAGCAGTTCATAATCCTATCCCCTCTCTGAGGATCCACTCCTACTGTTCAGCCTAGAGACCCAGAAGTGCCTGCTCAGTCTCAGGGGTCAATCCTGGACCTTCTCACTTTCCTGGTGTTCCAGGTTCCTGAATGATTTCAGCTGTAGCCATGCAGCTGCCAAAGCCTGATGTTGCTAAACCATTATAGCCTGGGAAGAACCCTTCACACCCCTGGTCAAATCTGCACTGGCTCCTCAGCCAGGATAGAGGCTGTTTCTGAATTCCTGATGTTACAGCTTTTAAAGAGAACTCCCCCTAACTGCTGGGGTTTACTCTGCATCAAGGGGACTAATAAATCCATATATGTATAACCCCTGTGTGCTTATGGCGCTAAGAGGGGAGGATATCTCACACACAAAAAATTGATCTGGTCCCAGGTAAAAAAAGGTCATGATTTCAAAGCTTCAGTTAGGTCTTTGTGTAGCTGGGGCATGACCACTGGGGCTCGTAACTTCTGAAGATCGGTGGATCAGTTCTTCAACTTGGTAAATTAACTGGCTTTGGGGCTTAAACTATCTTAATAAAACCCCTGGTTTTAATTCAGTCACATAGACTGAGCTGTCGGCCAACTTTATGCTAGTGAAATATTTATTTCTGACTCACATTAGTTGGCAGCAGGTGGTACGAAAATCATGGAAAATTTAATAACAAATCTTGTGAGGCAGCTTGAAGAAAAAGCAAAGAAAAGTGGCCCTTGGAGCAGGCAGCAAGCAACTGGCAGGCTAGCCTCTGGCATGAGGCGCTGGCACTGTCAGCTCAGGCTGGGAGTGTGGAGTGGCTGGAGAGAAGAACCCACCCATGGTGTAGGCATCTACCTAGCAGTGGATCTTCCTCAGCTCCAGGAGAGGACTTTTCTCAGCGGTATGCATTCTTCCCAGTTTGGTAACGCATCAGGAATTGTGAAAAGTAACCACAGTCTCTGGATATGGCAAGAAGAGATAAGACATAAGCAAACCAGCCTCCAGAAAGCTGGAGGAGAGGAGGGGTAAGAGAGAATCTGTGATGCAGCATTGATCCAGAAGAAATCCGTTATTCACTCAACTGAACGTTGTCAACTTTGGTTTTGATTTCAGCAAGCAAGAATGTTCCTCTGAGTTCTCTGAAGTGTTTTTGCTTCTCTCCACATACCATATTTTGCTGTGTATAATGCGCTCCCATGTATAATGCGCACCCACATTTTTTACCCAAACTTTCAGGGGAAAAAAAAAATCTCTGGTTTTAATTTTTTAATTCAAATTTTTATTTGTTTACATTTAGGTACTTGTTTTTTGTATTATAAAGGAATTTTAGCATTTATTTTTTAACA